CGGCTCCTCGGGCCCTGCCCCTCCGCCCCGGGCCCGGGGCTGCCCCTGGTTCAAGGCTGCACCTGCCCCGGTCACCCCTAAACCGCCTGGCCAGGTGGGCGTGGGTAAGTGGGCTGGGGCGGCGCTGCGACCCTAGGAAGTGAGTGTGCAAGGGTGGGTGTGGTCGCCATGCGTAGCCTGAATTTCCACCATCGAAACGCAGACCTTGCAAATGATTTTCGGAGACGTTTGCGCAGGGCGGGAGGAGAATAGAGGCGGCTAACCCATCCGAGAGGCGCAAGCCTGTTGTTCATTCTAGAACATCTGTCAAGGCCCACCAGGTTCAAGGCACCGAGAGAGACCAGGGTGCTAGAAGGGTAGACAGACTTCGACCCACCAGGTCATGACAGATGGTAGTAATGCTCTGCAGGGAACAGAGATGAGAGCTTCTGTGGGTGGCGTTTCTTTCTCTTTTTTTAATGATTTATTCATTCATTTATTTCAACTTGATCAGAGAGAGATACAAAGAGGGAGAGGGAAAATGAGAAAGTAAGCCACCAGGTCCGGGACTCCAACCGTGGCTGGTCATGTGGGAGCATCCACCGCCCTTAACCACTACACCACCTGCTGGATAGGATGACGAAAAGGCTCGAAACAACTTTACATACAAGTCCCTTTCTAAGCCCGAGTTTTTCATGTTGCAGAGCCTGCGTCCAAAGCTATCTAAGGGCTGTTTCTGTGCTGCTCACTTTCCCAGCAATTCTGAAGGTTTGCCCATTGTAGAGCTCGTGGGGCTGGTGCTAATAGGATGCTGGAGACAGGGAGAACCATGCCCATCAGCCTCCAGGGGCAAATTATTCAACCTTTCACTCTTTCTCTTTCCAGGTCACTATTTTTCTCAGATTCATGGGAGGAGCAGTTGGTGTAATGGCTATGTCTCTTGATTTCCCTTGTAGTCGACTGTGTGTTGAGTCCCAGACCCCATGGCTTAAACTCACGTGGGCGCCTGTGCCTGCGTGCCCAAGATCCCGAGAGGAGAATGGAGGAGAAGGGATTGCTGCATAGTCATCCCCCCTGGGGGGGGGTGATTTCTCACTTTCTGTCTCTATGTTTCTGTCTTTCTGGCAAGCACATGCACCCTGTAGCAAAAATCTCTCCAAAAAAAAAATATTATTCTTAACTGGGGTCAGAAAGAGCTTGATCTTCTATAAAGATCATACAGTAATCCAAATAAAAAAGTAAATGATACCTTCTAGTAAATTGGTTGAAGATAAAATCAAAAGGTGACTTGTAAGGGAGAGGCTATTCAGGTACCAATGCATTGATTTTATTAAATATTAACAGTTATTGTTTATTCATATTTATTAAATATTAACTGCATAATTAATGGAAAGTTGTCTGGATAACATTAGGGTTAGATATTCTCTTGCCCTTTTTACTTTAGTCCTTAACTACTTGTTTGGGCTAATGCAAAACAGAAGTATTGAACAGTGGCTTTTTGAGAAAGCTAGGAGGGAGGTAACATTTCCTAAGCACCTACTATTTACTGGGTATTGTGCTGGGCACTTTAAATATGTCCTCTCTCATACTACTAAGACTAATCTTGATATATCGGCATTATATCCATTTTAGTAAGAAGACGTTGAGGATCAGAAATACTATAACTTGTCTAGTTAACAAAAACTAATAGCTAGAAGAGCCAAAATGCTAACTCAGGTCTTTCTGTCTCTAATTCCCATGTTGCCTTATGCCATGCGATTGTATTTTAATTTTTATTTATTTTCATTTTTTTAGAGGGTGTTTTTCCCCCCTTAGGGTGTGTGCACTCGCTAAAGAGCGAAAGATAGACACAGTGAGAGGGAAAGTGAGAAATCACCCCTCCATCGAGGGGATGGCTACGCAGCAGTCCCTTTTCTTTCATTCTCCTTCTGGGATCTCGGGCACGCACGTACACGCGCCTGACGTGATTTTGAAGTCACCGGATCTGGTCGGCCATGTGGAAGTTCAGTGACATAACTGCTACACCATCTGCTGGTCCCCTTGTATTTTAATTTTAACAGGGATAGGTCAGTAACTTGTATAGACAAGCAGAGATCTATATTGTTTTCTTCTTTTTTTTTTTTTTTGTATGCCCAAAGGACACATGTACCTTCCAGAAAGAGGAATAAAGAGACAGAGAGAGAAGTCACCCCCTAATGGAGAATGGTTATGCTGCTGTCCTTTTTCCTCTATTCGTCCATCCCATCAGGATTTGAGGTACGTAAACACAAGCACCTGTTTTTCAAGTCACCAGGTCAGGATTTGAACTGTGGTCAGCCACATGGAATCCAGCACCTTGTGTACAGTGCCTAACCACTGCACTATAGGACCAGCTCTCGTTTTAATGTTTTTACTAGGAAAATAGACTGTAAGGTAGAGTGGTATGGGGCAATTCTGGAACATTTCTGTGTTTTTACTTCTTCCTCTATAGAATATTTGCCATCTATTTGGCAAGAACGACAAAAACTACCACCTTGTTTTAAGCATTCGTAACGTCATATATGGTTTGAATGCTGCCATGGATGTTATACAATACAATGCTAACATTTTATCATTGCATGGGAGTCTTGATTCAATGCCTCACCCTGAGTTATGGGCAGTCTTTCTTTGCAAATTAAGTGACTTCTTTCTGCCAAAAATATATGTTTTCAGATCATAATAGACTGTTCTGACAAGTGAATGCCCCAAGTATGTGTGGGCTGGTTGCTCTGGGGACATCATTAAGAGATGAAAGAAAAATCTGCGGGTGTTCCTCCTATTTAAGGGGATGAGGTGGTAGGATTTATACTTTTTTTTAGAGATTTTTGCTATAGCGTGCACTCACTGGAGAGAGAGAGAGAAAGGCAGAAAGCGAGAAATTACCGCGCGGGGAAGGGCCATGCCACAATTTCTTCTCCTCCGTTCTCTGTCTTTATCTGGTAAGTGCATGCACACTAGAGCCAAAACTTAAAAAAAAATGTCATGTTTTTGCTTTTACTGTGTATACTATTCCACGTCATCCTGCTCTAATAAACCTATGCCTATACAACTGGGTATGTGTACATTTTATATACAGCCTCAGACCACTGAAATATCTTCAGACAGATTGATATCAAAGTAAAAGGAAAATACAAGCTTCCTCGTTTGCAAAAAGAAAAAGAAAAATTTCTAAGCATATCTAAATGAGAACGCCACAGTCTGTTTGTTAGCACACAGAATCTCACCACGGCTGACTCAGGCTCTCCCTGGATTCTTCTCGCCAGGGCAGCTCATCCTTTATTCAACGACAGAATGAGCAGGAAAGAAACAAACTAAATTCCTTTATTCAGTCTTCGTGATGAGGAAAGGGGAGAATTGGGGGCGTAGTATCAGTATCGGTAATGTATGAACACACAATCACAGATAATCAAGTGATGGGACTCTTCTGCATTGTATATTCATCAAATGAGCAATAAAACACCGTATGGTTCATTTAGCAAACCATTATTTATCTGCTATGGAACAGCACCCAGTTAGGCACTGGAAACACAGAAACAAACCAGGGTATATGCCCTTGAGCTGAAATTCCAAAATTTCTATTCCCTTCATATATTTGTTCGTTTGTTTTTTGAGAGATTTTTTTCTATAGTGTTCATGCACTCACCAGAGAGACAGAAAGTGAGAAATCACTTTGGGTGATGGGGGAGGGATGACCATGCTGCGATCCCCTCTCCTCCAATCTCTTGTGAATCTGGGCTTGTACGCACATGCACCCAGTGTGAGTTTCAAACCACCAGGTCCAGGACTTGAACCACAGCCATTTGAGAGTCTAACGCCTTAACCACCATGCCATCCGCTCTCCCCACTTCATATATTTTTAAGCGAGTATTCAGCTCTTTGAACCAGATACTTCCTAAATTACTGGAATCCAGTGAGAAGCAGAGCAAGCCATGGAACTATCCGGTGAGAGAGAGAATCACAAAAATAACTTTAAAATCTAACCGTGCCCAAAATCCCAAGAGGAGAATGGAGAAGAAGGGATTACAGCTGGCTAACCTAGGGGAGGAGTTCTCACTTTCCCTGTTTCTGTCTCTCTCCAGCAAGCGCTCGCACCCTATGGCAAAAACCTAAAAGAAACACCTAACAGGTATTGCAGGTAGAGATCTGCTGCCGTGGTGGCATGGAAGAGGGGACTCAACCTAATCTGGGGTGTCAGAGATGGCTTCTTCTCAGAGAAGGTTGGAGTCAGATTTAAAAGTGCGTTGGGCCAGGACCAGCAAATGGCATTATGGCTACGTTGCTAGACTCCTGTGTAGTCAACCGCGGTTCGAGTCTCGGACCCGGTGGCTTAAATTCACGCCAGGCATGTGTGCATCCATTCTCAAGATCCCGAAAGGAGAATAAAGGAGAAGGGATTGTGACATGGCCATCCCCCGGGGGGTGATTTCTCGCTTTCTGTCTCTGTCTCTCTCTGGCTTTCTGGTGAACGCATGCACCCTATAGCTAAAACCTCTCCAAAAATAAAAAAAGAGGAAATGGATACTCATGGTTAAAAAATTACTACACCAAATATACTCAAAGGCCTACACATTGTTTCGCC